TTAGAGTCTGTGGTGTAGCGGTTATGTGCTTCGCCGTGGCATGCTGAAGACCCCAGTGTGATTCTGGAGCTGGGAGAACGTTTTTATTGAATATCTCGGTCTTTCTGCTGAGATGTCATGTCCCTCTCAGTATGGGTTGACCCTGACAGGCAGGGTTAGAAGCCCCCTTCATAAGTAATCTAAAATGTGTCAATGGGGGACATCAAAATACTTACGTTTTAGATTTTAATTTTTTTGAGTCTTTGATAACACTGTTGTTGCTGGTTTTAGCTACTTGTAGGCTCAAAAGTGTGGGAGTGTGATTGAGTGCTTAAAGTTTGTGAAGTTGTGGAAGATTACAAGAAAGGAGGGTTTATAGCTTCTGTAAGTGTTCAGGACAAAAATCATTCTGATCATTTTTTGTGTGGTTTTAGATCAATAGTAATTATTCGAAGACGGTCACCATTTATTTAGCCGTTTGTTTTCAAATTTTCAATTTTTTATATTTTTATGGATCATATACTATTGCAAAGATCTTTCTGGTGGAGGGGGGGGGATTGTTTCTTTTGTTCATCAGTCTGTTTTTCCCTTTCAACCTTTTGTACTCATATTGGAGCTTATTATTGATTGCTGAATTTAAGGTTAATGATTGAAAGACATTTCTGTTTTAATCGATGTCTTTTATTTAGACTTGACCTTTTATCCCACCTGTCTTTCCCCCACCCACTTCATAACACAGCTCCCACCTCCAAACTTAAACTTGACTCCCAAATCGACGTCAAGCCTGAGTGGTCAGACAAGGAGGAAAGAGTCATTACGGCGCACAAGAGGCTCACACGAGAGTCTGCCGATTTCGTGAGTTGTTTACCACACAATATTTCTATTACTATTACTGAATTTTAGGTCTGTCTAGTTTAGTGTTGTTAAGGCTATGATTCTTGAAGAGCTCGGTCTGTCTGTTACACATGATTTCAGCTCTCAAATGGGCATCTGTGGTACAACAGTTAAACTGTTGGCAGTGGGACGAAGATGTGCTGTAGGTGGTTGATGGGTATTCTGGTGTTCCTATCAAACGTCTATCGTCCCTATCTCTCCTCCTCCTTTTTTTGGCAATTGTTACTCTCTTGTAATACTCTAATCTTCGGCGCATATATGGTCTAATTGTATTGCAAGTGCTGTTATTTTTTTAAATGAGATGGGTTTGATTTCTTCATGGAGAAGTTGTTTTATGGAGTATCTCCGTCTGCTGAGATACTGTATCCCACTCGGCCCAGGTCAGTCCTGACAGGTGGGGTCGAAAATGAATCCCCAAAAAAATGATTCAAATTGTGTGGATGGCAGTGTAAAGCATTTACAGAAAAGAGAAAAAAAAGGCTTGCACTTGTGCTGGTTTATTTTTACTGCTGATGAGGTTTTTGCTTTTCCCCCTTGTTTTAGAATAAGATACGCTTTGGGAAAACCATCTAAAAACGTAATCATGTTCTTTTTCCGTTAGTTTTGCATTTATACAAGAAGGTCAATACATCATAATGTTTCTTTAAAATTTTTTCATTCAGTCTTTGCTCGATATATTTCTAAAGACGAAATGCTGTATAAACAAAGATTGTAGTGTTAAACAGAATCAAACTGAAAAATATCTTTTTTTTATTTATTTTTTTTAAATTGAGTAACCTTTTTTTCAAAACCCCATCTCTGTATTGTGTACTTTTTTTCAGGAAAAAATCTCCAAGAAATGGATCATTCCAAGAACTTCAAGAATATTTCATGGAAGCTGAGGATTTCTCCAAGCATCTGGATGACAAGATTTCTGTAAGATTTGCTCTCTCTTACTGATTTTATACTACATGAACTGTTTTTTGCTCTTGTCTCTGATCTTAGGTCTCCTATTGAGTTTGTTTCCGTTTATTGTATCAGCGCAGTGTGTTTTTTTTAGTTATCAACAAGGCCGATAAATATGAATTGTGGGATGATGAAGTCCTTTTTAAAATCTATTCTATGGTCGTTATTTATAATAAGGGGCGAAGAACGCATGCTCAAGGGTGTAATGGTATAGACAGTGAAAGATTTTGCCTGTTTGTTAGTGTTTCAGTGCTGAATCGGATGGGGGGGGCGCTATACTGTACATCTATTCTTTTTCATCTAGAACGATGAACTCCTATTGGATGAGAGTGAATCATACTTTATGAGCTATGTGGATGTACTTTTTCCACCCTCAGGCACTACCCAGCTCAGGGGAATACATGAACGCACTAGATGCTGTAAGTAACTTGTGTGTGGTGTGTTGTGCACTGTTTGTTGTTTTCATCATCAGCATCAGCATCAGCCTTTCTCTCCCTGTGCTAGAGTATAGGCCACCAACAAGAGTTCTTCATATGCTTCTGTCCTAGACTGTCGTCTTCACCTCTGTCCAGCTGTATACCATCTCCTTTAGGTCAGAATCCTAAGTCCTTCCTCCAAGTACTTTATGACCCTCCTTTCTTTCTTTTTCCTTATGGATTCCATCATAAGGTTTGGTGGGTAATGTTTTATTGTTTTACTCAGTCTGATTGGGTATTTTCATTGCTATTTTGGCATGCATGAATTGAGGGTTTTTGGATGGAGTATTACTTTTTTCAACTGTTAAGGGGTTGGTTGGTGAGCAAAGGGTAAGCAACTTAAAGTTTTCACTGTTGTGTTAATTACCGAAATAAGAAAAATTGTTGTTATTGGTCTGTTGGTGTGAGTTCAGGCTTTTACACTCCTGTCTAACGCCCTGTTGGTTGTGCTGTTTGTAAGTTGTCTTCAAGGGCTGAAAGGTTCCATAAGAGGTAGTTTCTTTCTGTCTAGTATTAGAGGGAGGAAGGTGGCAAAAAGGCAGAAATGGGTGATTGGCAGATGCTGTGGTATGGTTTGCTCCTTCTGTCATATGAAACATTTATTGTCCTTATCTCCCCTCCTTTAAAAAAAATTTTTACTCCCTAGTAGTGGGTGATTGGCGGGGGCTCTGGTGTGGTTTGCTCCTTTTTTCCTATCAAACATCGTCCTCATCTCTCCTCCTTCTTCTTTGTTTTTGTTAGTCTCCTGTAACACCTCTAATCTTCAGCACTTATATGACCTTATTGTGTTGCAAGTGCCATAAAACTCTTACTCCTTCTTTCCTATCAAACATCTATCATCCTTATCTCCCCTTCTTCTTTTTTATGTTTGTAACACCTCTAATCTTCTGGCGCTCATATGACCTTATGCAGTTGCGAGCGCCGTAAAACCTCTACTAAAACTAACACTAAAAAAGCTCTTACTAAAACTAAAAAACTAAACTCCCTAGTAACACATCTAATCTTCGGCACTCATATGATCTGATTGTGTTGCAAGAACCCTAAAAATCTTAGTGAAAGTAAAGGTACAGATTAATTAAGAACCTAGAAATTTGTATTTTTGATTGCAGAAATATCATGGAACCATCCAAGAATCATTATTGTATTTATGTAGATGATGAACGGACTTGTATTGCTTTGAGGTGACTCTGATATTAAAATTCGAAAATTGTCGAAACTCAGGATTGTCTGCTATCGTTTCTAAGAGTCTTATTGGTAAGAGTCATTGATATGATCTCTCTTAACGGTTTCTTTTACTGTTTACCAGGATCTTCTGCTTCTCAAGGCAACATCTGCAGCGACGCTTCATTGCATCCAAGACTGTATCAACATTCTACAAGTAACAGAGGTGAATTGAGTGTCCATGCTGAGGGATGCTATTTTCCGAATATTTCCAGAATGATGGAAAGTTATGAGATTGTGGGGATTTATTTTTCTGTGATCGTTGATGTTTTGTTTATTTTGTACCCCTGTAATATGATAATGATGGTTATAGTGATAGCCATGGATCATATTTGTGCATACATCATTGTGGCTGAAAGAAGTACTCAAAACGCCTTACAGTCAAACATACATGTATCTGCACCGTCTTTCAATAGTTACCAACTGCAAGAACACATCTTCGCTGTCATGCAACATTGTAGTATGTCAAATGTTTTTAAAAAATGAAAATCCAGTATGTTGTAGAGTTTAATGAGATGCATCGGTTAGTCCTAATCTCATTTCTATTCTTAGAATAGTATCAGATTAAGATAATTAAATATTTTGCATGAACATAATGTTCTGCTTGAAATAAAACCATATTCTGGTTCTCTTGAGAAACTCGTATTTTGACATACAACAAAGCTTAATGACAAAGACGATATAGCATAGTGGGGAAAAAAAACTGAGAAAGATGAAAAGAAAAACAAATTGAGTGAAGGCACCTGTGGTAAAAAAAAAATACTGATAATCCAAATCTTTGACTACATTCACAGTGTTATGTCAGTATAGTTATAAGATTAGTTAAGTTAGAAAACTTGGTTAAAAAAACAGTCTTCTGGAATACATTATAACTGTGCTGAGGTAAAGAACGAATCATCTGTCCTGGTACAAGTTGGTGTTTGAGAATGATATCGATGACTGAGCGCAAAAAGAGACTATATTCACTTTTGTCTGAAATTGAGTTGACGAAATTAGTAGTGAGATTGTAAGTTGCTCTTTTACCTCTGAATATCTAAGCTGTAGCTCTATTCTGTATTGAGATATTAAATTTATTTTTTGACAATGTTATCGAGATTTCAATGTCGTCAACATTTCTAACTCATTTTTCTTGAAACTGAAAATTTTATATAGACACTTCTTGCACTCAGCCGTGATATTCAAATGCTTTTTTTTTTAAATCATGATCTCTGGTATACTGAGTTTGCGTTTTGTCTACTCTTTGCAGGGCAGTGAGGATTCACCACGCAGCCAGACCAGCATGTAAGTAGCTCTTTACTACTAGTTCACTAAACTCAGACTTTATTTGCATTATTTTGGTCGAACAGCCGTATTATCTGTTGAAATCAGATTGTTTTTCATCCTCAAACTAGCTTATTTGGTCATTTTTAAGTTCAAGGGGGCTCTACCGAAAAATGCTGTTTGAGAAAAATCAAAGGTAGTAACATTTTTGCCCCTTGTTCAGTTTTTTTTTAAAGACCAGGAGAATATTCTCTATAACCAAACAAATGTACTCACCAATGAAACCAAACTTCTCCTATAGGTAGGGCAATGCCCACTTTTGGTGTAGGTCAAGGTTTCTGGAAACCCCTGAAATCTTGGTTAGCCCGCTTTTCCTTAAAAGCGACCATTTTGTATGTAACTGTTTCAAGGCTGTGGTCTGTACATTTGTAATATTCCTTGTTCCTCTTTGTTGGATTCAGAGAAAAAATGCAAGTTCAAGCCACAGCTCTCCGCCTCACAGAAGGGACCAAGGATAGAGCAGGTAAGAAGTTGGTTGGGTTACATTGGCTTTGTGATCCATTAGTTACATCCTCTTTTGAATGAGTTTTGAGTAAAGAAATCTGTTGGACCACAAATGAATGGGAGTGTTGCTTTCTTCAGTCTCTTTAACCCTTTTATTACACAAAACGAAAAACTAGCTGTATTGAGTATATGAAACAAGGAGTAAGCATTTTTATCATACCAATAAGTGAAAATATGAAAACAATGACTAACGCAGTCACGCTATTACCATAATGATGAATATTTTACATTTTGATACAGAGTCTCTGCCTTCGGCTGATGAGGAAGTTCCGGATGAGGAAGCATTTCATGCTCAAGAGCTGGGCGGCGTGGAAGAACACAAGTCAGTCATCCTGCATCTTCTGTCTCAGCTCAAATTGGGCATGGACCTCACAAAGGTGGACTGTGTTTCGTCTGTTTGTCTGTGTTTGCCTGTCGGAGTATCTGTCTCTCTTCTACTTCTGTTGTTTCTGTCTGTTTGACTTACTATTATTGTGTCAATGTACATCTCTTTTCTCATACTAATGTACAAGATTTGCTTTTTCCTTACACTAAATGATCTTCATTTTGCTTCTGTTTAATCCAAATGGCTTGCTTCTTCCCTTATTTACTAGCCATTGTTAGTGGTGTAATGGTAAGGCTCTTTGCATAGTACACTGATAATGTAAGTTCAAGTTCCATTTGGGAAAATGAATTTATTGAATATGTCAATTTTTTAACTGAGATGTGTTCCACTCAGCTCGGGCTGTCCTTAACATCCTTTCAATCTTTAATTTCCTTTGTATGTACTCAAGCTATTATGCTTAGTGTATTGTTCTCAAAATGATCCAGTAGGGGGACGTTACATTCACTTGAAAACAAACAAAAGGATGGTTGAAGCAGCCTGCCTCAGAAAGTGTCTGTATTTTGTCAATACAGGTGTAGAGGGTTTTTTTCGTACCATCAATTTCCCTTAGTTTCTCATCTGTCAAGGCAGGGAGTGGTTTGTGCTTTTTTTCACTCCTTTTAAGTGTTCCTATTGTTTTTGTCCTCACACAGAGTACATGGTTGGAGAGGGCCACTGATAGGTCCTACTTCTTTTTTTTTCCTGTTTTTTTTTGTCTATTTGTCATGTCTTCTTTTTAGTTTTAGATGACCGTTATTGAGTGGATGTGCTTCTCTTTTCTCAAACTAAACATTACTCTATGTGTTCTTGTAGGTGGTGCTGCCAACATTCATCCTGGAGCGGCGTTCCCTACTGGAGATGTTTGCAGACTGCATGGCTCATCCTGATGCTTTTCTCAAGTGAGTGAATATCTGTGTGTGTGCCTGGTGAAAGGTACCAAATGAAGCATTTTGAAGAATCCCGGTTTTTTGCATTTTCATGTACAGAGATCATTTCTGAACAATATGCTTTCTAAATTTTTAAGATATCTTCTGTAGTTTTTGAGATATGGATGATTTTGTAAGGCAGGGTGCGGAAACAAAGTTTTGAGAAAAACGGCTTTTAAGTTTCCCCTTTGTTTCTGCTTCAAATAGATCTACGCTTCGAGACGACCTGACAGTAAATTAGCGACTCACAAACCAACTTTTAAAAGCAGCTAAGATAAAAGAACAACTTCTCTAAAACAAATTCACCACTACCTTGAGGAAGAGTTCAAAGAAATCATCTAGGTTTGCGCAAGGCTGTATAGGCGATACAAGTTTTGTTCTCTAAAAAACCGAAAGGGTGTAGTCGCGCAAAGCTTCGCTTTGTTTACATGTTCTAGATGTTCGTCACACTACCCGCCATTAGAGAGAGGAGAGAATGACCTAAATTTTGGTATGCATTGTGATTGGGTCGACGTTATGAATTGACAAGAGAAACCATCCGCAGTATTTACTCGAAAGGCCAATTTTCTCATGCATTTTTTGGGATTATGCAATTTACCTTGTGTTAAAAAACATCTTTAAAAATGTATTTTAAAGTAAAAAAAGCTCTTGTAAATATTGATATATTAATGGCTAAAGAATTCATTTTTAATGGGACATAGTTTTTGTCAAAAATTCTATTTTTGACCTTTGAAGCTTGATTTCTAGGTTCGAACACATGTGTCTTTTGGTACCTTTCACCAGGCATGCTCACATATTTGTTGCAACTGTTACCTCACAGTGTGGCACCCGAAACCTGGAGTTGTGTCGATAAATCAGAGGATTGGGGGCTTTGGTGGTCCAGAGGTACAGTGTTTGCCTCTTATTCCGTAGGTCTCGGATTCAGATCCTGACAGCAACAAAAAATGTTCTCTAAAGTCTTCTCCTTCCTCCTCCCTTCCAGTTCCCTAGTCCTGTTCTGTCACCTGCTTTCATCTCCACTTTGTCCTCCACCCCCGCTTCTCTCAGCCCTTTCATTACTCTTTCTACTGTTCTCTTGGTTCTTTCTTAGTACTGTCTTTCAGCCACACCCCTGATCTTAGGGTAGGTAAGATCTGAGACCTAGCTTTCTCGGATGAGGGCGAAAAGTCTCTGACTTGCACACATTAAAGATCCCTTGGTGGTCCTAAAATCGATAAGAGTAGGCTTCGGCCGCCACCAAAGCAAAATTCAAAAGTTCTACCAAAATTTTAAACCGTCAGTATATAAACATATGTGTCACGACATTGTGAAATCAGGCACTCATCAATTTTTGGGCATGTGGAGTTATCGGTATTATCTGAAAGCTTATTCATTTGCCTTGCTTTCAATGAAAAAATACCCATCTATCTAGAATAGAAATCAAGATAATTCCGAATGAAGGAGGTGAGGACGCCTGGTTTCTGTGGTGAAATAAAAGAGAAAATGGCCGTCAAAGTTTGATAACTCCAATAGCTAAACAGTCCTTGAAAACTGAAAAATGACACATTTTGTACCTTTAATCAACATTTTTCAATAAAGTTCACTTGGAAATATGTTTTTATATGGACATAAAAGGGGTTGGGCTAAAAAACAAAATTTGATAAAAATTACCAGTTCCTCCTACATCGTTATTTTGAAGAGCGCCTCTTATTTCACTGTGCTGCCTCTCATATAGAGTGCCTTCGAAATCGGAATGTGGCTGCCTGATGGCAAGGGGCCTCACAAAGTAAGAAAAGCAGTTACGTGTATAAAAGTGAGGCACTGCAGGCTGAAGAACCAGCAGTCAACTACCTTTGAGGTCTAGAGGGGGAAACGCAGAGAAGAAGAATCAGAGGATGTCTGCCACAATGATTTTATTGAAACTTCTTCGCCAAGGCCAGTAAGAAATATTTAATTTGAATGTATTTTGTGATCTAGCCGTGCAGTCTCGGCATTGAGAAGAATAGGACTGACGTGGTGCTAGCGTGTCGTACGAGGCGACTAAATGGCGAACCAGGTAGTGACTCCTGAAACAGAGTCATCCTGCCTCCAGGTCGGGGGTTGAGTCACGAGGCTAACAACCTGTCTCGTAAAAAGAACCTGTTACAGAAACACATACAAGCAAAAACCATTATCTCTGCTTGGCTGATCGTGGATCTTCTCCAAATGGAAAGTTTATGATGCAAGGCGGTGAAAGCCGAAAGGAAGCTGCTGGGCAGAAGTCTCCACCATCATCCAAGTCCAAGTCTCTTCGGATTGGCTCGTGGGCAGTGGAACCCACAAGGAGCACGAGGCAGGGGTAGGCCACGGGAAACATGGAGGAGATGCGTGGAAAGGGACATGAGAGAAATGAAGCTCACTTGGAACGAGCTTGGAAGGATGGCTCAGGACAGAGATAAATGGAAGGAGCTTGTATGTGGCCTATACCCTGCCAGGGGTGAAAGGCATTGATGATGAGTTTGAGCTTGCGGCCGATTAAGAAAGACAGGCATTGGAAGTTGAGTTGGGCTATGTCATATTCCTGTTATGTTACATGCAGATTTGATTTACTGTTTTTGACCATCATTTTTGTTACATTGATGGAAAAAGCTTTTGTTATGCTAAAAGGCATAGCCCAGCACCAATGAGTTCAGAAAAGAGGCTACTTTTTAAAAAAATATTTCTATTTCCTCGTGGTATTCTCTTTTGTGTTTGTTTAGTTAGTTTAGTTTAAGTAAAGTTTTACGGAGTTTAGTTTAAGTAAGGTTTTACGGCGCTCGCAACTGCATAAGGTCATATGAGCGCCAAGGAGTGGATGTCAACAGAGAAGTCCAAACGGGGAATCGGGCTTACTCTGCTCACCTCCCTAGCCTCAACAGCACAAAGTCTGCTTTGACTATCAAGGCACCTTGGAAAATGGAATATCGTCCTGGGTACTAATAGGAACCGCGATGGAAAATTTTCTTCCCTAAAAAGTTCTCCTTTCACCTCTTTTCCTGCTCTCTAACAATATTCTGTCGTCTGTTTGCGTCTTCACTTTGTGCCTCCACCTCCTCACCTCCTTTTCCCCTTCCTCCGGGCACCTGAGTCTTTCTGTAGCCTTTCTACTTGTACTCCTTGGTTCTTTCTTACTGCTGTCTTTCAGTCACATTCCTGATCTTATCGTAGGTAAGATCTGACACCTAGCCGTCTCGGATAAGGGCAAATAATCTCGGAGGTCTCGTGTGCAAGTTGCGCACGTTAAAAATCCCTTGGTGGTCCAAAATTGATAAGAGTAGGCTTCAACCGCCACGCGGGCAAAATTCTAAATTAATTCCTACCACCTCAAAAATGTTAAATGTAATTTCACTGTATGCAGGTGCGAGCATCGTAAAACACGAGAAAAAAAGAATGAAAAGAATAAGGATGTGCTATACAGTCTTCCATCGATTTGAAGCAGTAACTGGGTTGGATTACAGTAATTGAAAATTATTAGCAAATTTTCTCTCCTTTTTCATTTGTCCCCATCAGAATTCCAGAGATAGAGGACCCTGAAGGGAGAATGCTGGCTGTCCTGGAGTGGTACCTCACCTCGTTCCATAATGGCAGACAGGTAAAAATATTGTTGTTTCAAGTGGATGACGAGATGCATGTGAACTGTTTTTCTTTTCTTGGTTTCAAAATACTTTGGGGAAAAGAACTGGACCAAAAAAAATTGAGGAAGTTACTAAACTTGGCCGAGAACCTCTGCTCCAACCCCAAAGAATGAGATGTCAATGGATGTAGTTAGAAACCCATATTAGAAATGTGTAGTGCCGTATGGATGTTTGCATTTCTTTGCTTTTTTTTGTCAAAAGTACCCTAAAACATGTTACTCTGTTTGAATCTAATTCCAGGTGCTTCGGTTGTTTTGCGTTCGTATTTTTGTCAGTTTCCCTACTTCTTTTCACTGATACTATTGTTCTCTTCAGCTCTTGACGAAATGTGTTTGTAACCAGTTTGATATCTGTGTAAACTACTACATCTTATGATTCATTGGTTGGTCCTACTTCTATGTTCTCCTGCAGTTGTTCTGTTTGGCTTACTTTTTTCTTGCACAAAATCATTATTGTTTCAGTGTTCCTCGCAGATGGTTGGAGGGTGTCACTGATAGGTTCCACTGCTTTAATCTCCCTATGCATTTAATAGCAATTATCTTGTTGATGTGCTGCTTTTCTTCACTCAAACTTATTTGTTTTTCTTCAATTAGGATTCCGCATGAGTGATTAGTGAGCTGTCTTGTGTGCCTGTCAAACATTTATCATCTTTATCTTTCCTCTTTCTTTTCTGTTACTCTTTTTTCCTTGCTTTCAATTGCTTTTATCCTGTCGATGTGTTTGGGTTTTTTTCTTCTCAAACTTGTTTTTTTCCTCTCTAATTGGTATTCCCCACAGAGTTCAGTAGCTAAGAAGCCGTACAACCCAATCATTGGCGAGACGTTCCACTGCTCATGGCACGTGGATGAAACCAGTTCGGAGGACAAGGCGGGACAGGAGGAGGAGAAGACTGATGCTGGGGACAAGAAGACGCACCTGACCTACACTGCTGAGCAAGTCTCCCATCACCCCCCAGGTATGTGGTTTCTGCTTACCCTATCATGAGCATAGTGCTTTCTTGCAATAACTTCCAGTTTCCAACTATTGGGGGAGTTTCTGATACAGTTGTCTTGGTTGTTGAAAAAGCCTTCTAAAGGATCTGAAATATGTCGCCAGGGCCAGAAATCAATCTTTCAAAGCAGTAACGGCGTTGAACACTCATCAAACAACCCAAATTCAAGATCATTTAATGGGGGATTCAGACCTTGGCCTCTGATACCCACAGACCTAAATCCCAAATGTGGAACTATTTTTTGTGAATCCTTGATAAAATAATTTAAGTTTTATACACCTGAAAATTGTAACTGAAAATTATGAAAAAAGTTTATATCAGTTTTGTTGTTTATTTACTCTGTTATGAAGTAGAGGTATTCTGATTTAGATCTGTTGAAAGTATATGTCAGATGAAGTCTGAGTTCACTGCATGTCTTTTTTTCAGTCTCAGCATTTTACTTTGAGTGTCCGTCCCGGAAAATGAAGATGAATGCCTCTATATACACCAAGTCCAAGTTCATGGGCATGTCTATAGGAGTGGTCATGGTAGGGAAAAGTGAGTACTCAATGTTGTTGTCGTTCACTTTTTCCTCGTTTTTCTACTCACCAATGGGACGGAAATAACTAATTCCACTTCAGACAGACAGAAACAAAAATGAAGGTATATTTTTGTTTTGACTCTCTGAAACAACTCAACAAATTAATACCTTTTCACAGGTAAAATAATGTCATCATGAAACTGGCATATAAAGAGGAATAAATAATTAATAATATGTTGGAAAGGTGTTGAGTGGAATACCAGTTTTCCACAGCATGCACTTACCAAAGGACAGCATGAAAATCGTTGGAACTAGGAACCAAACCACATTCTTCCATCTGTTATATCTACTTCTCCCTTTTTGCTGCTGCCTGACAGGATAAACCTAGAAAGTTCAGGAACATACGTGCTCTGTCATCTCAGTCACTGAAATATCTGTTGTTCTTTTATCAAAAGCTGAGAACACTCTCCCTTTGACACCAACCTCTACCTCTTCTCCCCCCACAACATTGACGACATCAGAAGAGACATAGACGTGCTAACTGCATTATCCCACTTGTTTCCCTCTGGTTTCTATATCTTGTTTTCCCTGTTCTAAATGTTCATTATCATGTCTATATCCTTTGCTCCCCTCAGATTAAGCTTTTCTTGTATTTTCAGTATCACTTATATAGCACAATTAATCAGAGGGGTTTTTTTATGAAGAGTTAGGTAGATCTTACTTTTTCA